TTGTTCAAACATTCATCTGGGTTTTATAAATCCCCCTAAAAAGTAGTGAATGACAACTATATAAACAGACTAGGTCTGTCCTACTTCAAGGAGACTGTACACAAATACCCAGGATGCTAAAACCTGTGTTTACAAAAATCCTTGCTTGCAGAACATGTATTAAAGACGGTAGAAAGGGCTTGGCAATTACCTTGCTGGGCTTCGGTGCCTCAACCTCTAAAATGAAGACGTCAGAAAGAAGGATCAGCAAAGTTGCTTTTAGCTTTAAATCATGGTGATTCTATGTGTATTTGGCTGGGGGACAGGGACTTTAAATTACAAAAGACTTCTCACTACAGACCTTCCTTAAACATTAAAGATATACACATGATTTGGTTTTGTTTTAATTCAGCTTATACTATGTTTCAAAGAACAATCTTCTCTAAATGAAGACAGGTCTATAACCACACTAATCTCACTGACTTCCAAGCTGCTAGCATAAAGAGAGAAATGCTGACCAAAAAATAGTTTATAGGTAGATCCAGCAATTCTGCAGTATTCTGAAATGAAATCACTGGGTCCTGAGTTTTTCTGGCTCTACTGCATTATCTTTCACCCACTCACTTTTTGGCTACTTCCTGGATCACCAACAGCCAGGAGCAGGAAATTTAATCATCCATATAATCCTGACTGTTCAACGGCATAATCTGGGGGCAAGAAAGGTAGGATGCATATTCAATATGATAAAAATTTCAGAAGTGAGGGGAAAAAGCTCCAAACGCATTTAAGTTTACAGAGCTGGAGGTGTCTGGCAATGCCAAGTTATCAAGTGATGTCCACTGTAGAGAAGAGAGTATGACAGATCTCTAAATGGATTTTCCACTTTTAGTCCTTGTCAGCACACAACACTCCAAGCCTAATCACTACATAAAAGGAAACAGATAAGCACGTCAAAGTCTGGTGTTTAAGAGCATATGTTGTACCTTTTACATTATGTATGACATCAAGGTCAGCTGTACCCCTTGGTTGCATCAGAGCTGAACCACTGCTTTAAACTCCTTTTCTCTTCATTCCCTCTGCGAAGCAAAGGCTGGGGAAGGGCAGGAATAGGGGATAAAACTTACAAAATAGTCCTTAGCGATGAATGATATTATATAAGCTGCCACACCATATGAGGTTAAAACATAACACCACACAGCATGGTAGCTTATACAATATCATTGGGATTCTTTATTATAGACGAGGATATTAATCATCACTATGGAACAACTAAACTTTTTTTGGCCAAGGATTAACTTTAAAGAATGGAGACCATTCACTCATTCAATCTACAACATTTAATGAGCACCTTTTACTCTGTAGGTCCTGTACATACAGCGGGGAATGAAACAGACATTGTTTTTCCCTGGAGAGCTGTGGTCTAGAAGAGATGTTAAGCAGTGTGGGGAGAGCCAGCAAGGAAAGGAACAGGTGTTCTGAGAGAGGGCAACAGGCGATCTGAGTTTAGGTTCAGAAAAAGCCTCTCTAAAGAGCTGACCAAGAAAAGGAGGTCAGGTGGAGAGAAGGATATTTTGGGCAGGAAGACCAGCAAGTGCCAACGTCCTAGAATGGGGAGCTTGAGTTCTTCTATATGTAGAAAAGAAGGAGCCAGGAAGGACATGGACTGACTGGTATAGGAGGAGCCCAAGGTGGAAGGCGGGGCATTCTGCAGAAGAAATGACACCTGTTCCACAGACACAGAGAGGGTGGGTGTGGACGGAGATGAGTCTGTCAGTCTGGGAACAGGAAGTTGAGGGAGTTCTCTAATGGCTACTGTTTTCTTTGTGAAATAGCAGGCCTGGTGAGGCATGAGAGTAAGAACTGGGTGAGGTGGTGGTGGGAAATGGCTATTACGGGCAATGGAGGAGCAAGCCGGACTCACTCACCTCTCAACCCTCACTCTTTCCCAAGTCCCCACAAAGTGACACCTCGCCCACCCCTTAACAGTGGCTTTCTCAATTTCTGGTACCAAAGCTTCGAGAACCAGAGCAAAGGAGCCCTGGATGCCGTGATGCTTAGCACTAGAAAGATTCTCAGAGATCTTAACTGCCACTCACTTTAACTACTTCATAATTAAGCAATTTACTAAGGAAGCAACTAAATGTCAAATAGTTGCTATCAGCCTATCTCCTCAGGAAGCTCCATCCACTGGAAACTGTTGATATCCTCTTTTTAATGGTAGTCACCTTTTTAATAGAGTGAGTTTCTTCCTTCATTTCCCCTTCTTTCCTATTCATTCTATGTCTGAATAATTTAAACTCATTCAGTTTTCAATAAAGCAAGACCTGGATTATTTTTCTCTGTTTAATACTCAAGCACAATCACTTATTCATTGGTAAGCAGGAAAAATTAAATCAATTATTTAGGAGGTGGCTATAGGCTGGGGACAAAGATCCAGCACTCTGGGCACAGAGTCAAGTACGTTTTAAGCTCTGATGGCTTAACAATATCCCCAGTCATTTGCTTCTACATTCACGCATATGCAAAAATATGCTGGCCTCCAAGGACTTAAGATTCAACCCCAAAGTATACTAGTCTCTCATTGCAGCTCAGAAAAATGACTTAAAATTATCTCCCCTTACAGCGAATCAGGCATGAAGCATCCAAAGGCAGTTTTCTTGCAATACAGACATTCTTAAGAACTCATGGTGATCGCACACTAAATGGGATACATAAGTTCACCAGGAATGGGGGGGGGGGGGGAAGCTATGTATAAGAGGGAAAGGATTAGTAACGATAGAGAAGATAGCTTGAGTTATTTACACAACATAGCTCACTTCATAGACATCTGAGTGGTGGTAGCTAACCAGAAGGTTCTAGATTACAGCCAATAAACCGGCCTTGGAGAAAACACACACAAAACACACAGACACCTATCCTTTATTTCCTGGCAGAAGCTATGATGATTCTATCTGATTAATAAAGTGTTCAATCTCCCTCAAGAGTTATTAAGTATCCCACCCTAATTGCTATCAATTTAAAATTCTAGTACCTCAGATTACGTTAAAAGAAACATTCTGGGCTTTCTTTAAAAAGGAGAGAGCCAGATCATTTGTGGTCGATCTGCAGAATGTAACTGATGACAAGTAGAGCGAAGGTGAGGAACAAGTAGAAGGGGCCCCATTAACCTCTTCAAAGGCCAGTCTGCAGGCTGCTTCCAAACTTACAACCAGAGAGCTGGGCCCTCGAAGAGGGAAGACTGTGGATGTTGCTAGGGGAATGTATAATACACATTTTGGGATACTGTTTTTCCACTTTCTCTCCCACTCCCTGTTTCCCAAAAGACAGGGAAAACACACCTGGGAGAAAACGCCAACTTAAGTGCTACTTGTAATTCACACAGAAGTTCACCCTTGAGTTCTCTCAGCCTGGTTCCTATTTGCCTTCAACTACCTTTGACTTTGAATAAACTGCTGTTATAAAGACATAGAAAAGAAAAGCATATATCAGCACACAGCTCCATCAGAACAGAGGCCACGGCAAGAAAACATTACTCCCCCCATACTCCACATCAAGCTCAAAAACAATGCTCCTGGCTGTCATTTTTCATTTATGCCAGCCTCGTATTTCTATTAAACAAACCTCCTTTTTATTGACTATTTCCCTCACACAGCACAATAAGGTAAACGTGAGCCCACAAAGACTATATGGTGAAACACAAGCTTTACTCTGGGAGGGGAATCAGTAAAAGGCAGAAGGGGACAAGTTTCAAGGGCTCTTCCTAACTGGTGTCTACCAAATGGAGAAATGATGGGGCTGCTCCTCTGTCTGCCAGAGCTGCTGTGATTGACTTGAAATTAACCAGCTTTCCAAGAGACATGAAAAGAAAGAGGATTTCACAATCTCGAACAGTCTCCCCTCTTACTCTCTAATTTTCCCCAACCACCCTCACTCCCACCCCCCACTTACAAGAGGACTTTTGTATACATAAAGTTTCAAGGAACAAAGCATACAAACACTCACACACAAATAAACTCCCCAAACTAACACCAGCGTATAATTGTGTTTTGGTTGGAGCTTTTCCAGCCCTGTCACCCGTTCTCTGTTAGGAGTAAATGAAACCCTTTGCTTTTGCGAAGTTAGAAACAGACAAACTCTCCTCAGTTTCACGCTGCACAAGGACCCCCTCATATCTTTCAGCCCCCTTAAATTCCCAACGAAATGAACTCACTGCTGAAAGGCAGCAATGAAAAAAAAAAAAACTAATCTATATCTCAAATACAGATTTTCGCTTCCCCTCACTCAGCTTCCCCTTTTAGCCGGAAACATACAGCGTTTCTAGTTTCTGAAACCCCTTTTCAAGGGACCCTCCACTCAGGGCTCTTCCAGGGGATCCCGCTTTCAGTCGTTCTGATGCAGGCAGGCAGCCCTTTTCCAAGCACATTTTGCATTCCTGGAATCCAAGTGGGGCTCTTTCGTTTCCAGAGAAAGCTAAAAAGCAGACTTTAGTGGGCTGGCTGAACTAGGTCCGACTCTTCCTCCCCTCCCCTCTGAAAGGCTGCGGGGGAAGAAGGGAGCCCGAGATGAGACCTGGGCTCCGCTTATCCAGCTCCTACTGGGCTTCGAAGGCGCAGGGGAAGCGGACAAAGTGCCCACCGCTCACTTTAAAACTCCCATCTGCTCCTACCACTGCCTTCCTCCAAATTCCTCCGCAGAACTTGGCCGGCCCCCAGGAGAAACAAGAATCCTACCTTCCTTGAATTCTTCTGCTTCGGAGTGCATAGTGTCAGGGTAACCAGCTGCAGGGGCGATTACCGCTCACATGTACTCGGACTAGCCTCAAGTTCGCTCTGCAGCGAAATCCGCACACAACGGAAAATAAAAGGAAGAAAGCCACTAAAATCAAAACCTCCCCGGGGCGGGAGAGCGGGTTCTGGTGCAGGGATTTTCAGGGGGAAAGTTCTGCAAGAGTGACGAATCGCGTCTCAGCTGGGCGGCGGGAGTCCGCCCCCGGGGCCGCGCTCGGGCCGGCAGCGGGGCGGAGGCAACCTGGCGGGGCTGGCTCGGCCCGGGCGCACGCAGGTGGGGCGCAGGCCCAGACCGCAGCCGATTCTCCCGAGACACAGGGCCCAGAGGGGCCGTCGGCAAACGCACCAGACGGGCGGAAAAAAAAGGTATAACAAAGAAAAAGTCTCATCTCAGAGCACACTGTAGTTTTACATAAATAATAAATGTATATAGGGGAGAAGCAATGCTTGTGTATTTTGGATTACATTTTTTGATGCCCATTTGACTTTGTCTTGTAGTCTTGCACGCCAAAAATTACGGATTTTAAAGCAGCTTGGGTATGTTATTTTTGTAGGAAAGTCGCGTGGATATCGCTCATCAGGTTGGAAGGACCAGCTTAACAGAGCACAATTTCACAAGTCCCAGAGCGGGGCCTTTTGAAGAAAGTGGAGCGGCCTCCACCCTTACCTTTTGCACAGCAAAAGCAGACGAGACTGCTTTCTCATTCAGTATAGCCCCGGGCGAGCACTGTTACTCAAACCCCAGCCCGGGCGCTCACTGCTGCAGTTACTCCCACGGGCCATCCTCAGCGGGAGAGACGGTTCCCTCCCTACCGGCTACTAGCAACAACTGGGGATGAATTCCTTCAAAACGCCAAGGGGGAGGTTTTCAGAATTTGAAATGCTGATAGAATAAAGAAGCAGGAGAGCCTTCACAACAGATCTCAATTCTGCCCCCGGCTCTGGCCCACAGGCCCCTACAAATTGGCTGAGAGGAAGTCCCCTTAGCTCTGTGGAGCCTTGGTTTTCCCTTCTGCAAAGCGGGGACAAGAGCTGCCACTGATAGGCCTGTCTTATGGAGGTATCTTGTAGAACACTTGTTCTATCGCCAGTCTCACGCATAAAGTCCCAAATAACATACTGAAAGATCCGCTTGGAAATTATGAGAAAAAATATATTATTTTGACAAATTTATTTTCCAGCTCCTTTTTCTTTATTTCCCATTTTGTATAGGCAGAAACCAATAGAAACACTAAAAAGACATGGATTTAAGGAGTTTGAATTTAAATCCAGTTCTGCCATTTATTATTTGTATGATCTTATCCAAATTAACCTCTCTGAGCCTCCAGTTCCTCATTTGTAAAATGAAGATAAAAATAGTATTATTTACTTCACAGATTTATGTCTGCATTAAATAAGGTAATATAAGCACAAAGCGATTTGAAAACCATAAGGACTACATAGATTATTACTATTGCACCATTAAAAGTAAATTTTTATAAAAGATACTCTTGGGTTTTATTTCAGTATTGAATTTGAACAGAAAAGAGTGCTTATGCTATTCACAAGCAGTGAAGGCTATTATAAATATTAATGTAAGAGGTCTAGATATTAAATCACATCCTACTGCTGAGAGATTCTAATATGGCTAAGATGCTAACATGTTATCTCAATTTCACTGAAAGAGCAGGATGAAGGGAGGAAGACACAGCCAGCCAGAGAAGGGAGAAGAGGAGAAACATCTGGAAAATATCAGTGTTGCAGAGCCTCCCGGAAACTGACCTTGCCACCGAAAGGGTAACAGACTGCACCCTTCCGAAAGTCACAGTTAACTTCATGGTCCCCTCTGCCACACATCCTGAGTCAGGAGCTGCTGATATGTATACCTTGCACTCGGTCATCTCAGACTCATGGGGAGACAGCCTGAGATGAGGATGATTCTGAACCCAAAGAAATGCTCCCTCACTAGTCACAAGTGGCTTTTCCTGTCCTGCCCAAGTCATCATTCTGCCCCCTCTCTCCCTATACCATCTATCCTTGCCCTTCCTCACTGCAACCCAGATGTCTACAGAGAGTCCACAAGGGGTCTTAAGGGATCTCACCAGGGCTGTGTGCTACACAAGAGCTTCCACTGATCTATAATTGGGGTAAAGCAACAACTTTTCAAGGTGATGATTATGCAAATCCAGAAAACCCAAATTTCAGGCTCAGTCTGCCCACAGCAGAATTACTTTCACTCTCTTCTTTTAGAAAGTACCTTCATAAGGAATATTTATTAAATGTCATTTTGCAAGTCCAACTGGGGACAAATCACATAAGATATGTTAAAATACATGTCCTTTAATGTGCTACTTGTTTTACAACTGCTGAATGAATAGTTCAAGCGCCCCCATGAATTATCAGCCTTATAATTCATTTTAGATAGCAGCTTCATTGATCTTTGAACATTCACCACCGGCCTCAGGAAGCCGGGAGAGAAACTTCTTTTGTATTTAAATGCAAGCAAGCAGTCACCTTGGGGAAGAATGTTCTGTTTCAGCTCAAGAGCAATGAATGCTCAGCTTATTTTAAAAGGCTTTATGTGAATAAGGACATTCCTCAGTCTCCTGTATAACCTCAAAGCCATCTGCTCTGGGCAAGCTACATTGCCCCATACCCCTACCTTGTAACATGGTGACAAAGGGCAGCTGATTCTCTAGGGATCCCCTTGGCCTTCTGCTGCTCTTCTGCTGCTCTCAGATATATACCAGGTCATCTTGATTTTGTTGTGCTTTTATTCAAAAGGGGATAATTTACTTCTTAGCGCCAGTGAATAATGGTCCAGTACATCATAATGATTTGTTATCTCCTGTAGGTGGGACTTGTTGATTCTTGTATGTTTAAGAAACACCCCAACATCCTTCGCATGGCAACAATCTATTAGGGCCTGCCTGATACAAAATTGCAACTAAGTTAGCAACACTTCTCATTTAATAACAAACTGTACTTAAATACTATGTTGAACTCCTACAAGTGTATAATAATGGAACTCCCACCTTTTGTGTCAAGATGGAAGAATGAAAATGCTGGCTAAGATTCTGAAGGTTTATTCATTCATTGAGGTATAATCAAATAAATTTGTATGTGTCATATCTAAACGGACCCTACTCACGTGGGGCTTGTTGATATAATTTTGTTCATTTGACCACAGACCTAAAGAACTCAACTTTCCAAGTCACTTTGGTTCTGAGGAAGGTTTATTAACACCAACTCTCGACTGAACTTTATCACAGAGCAGCAGAAAAATCTCTTTCCAAATTATGCCTTAAATAAAGCTGTCAAAAGAATTTTTTTAAAGGCCTGACTTTCAGGCCTTTTGCTCACAACCCCCTAGATGTCTGTTAAGAAAAGGGGAGATCAGTGAGTTTTCAGACTCACACAAATTAGAAGGCCGGCTGGCAGAACTGGGAAGACAAGGTACCTTTTAATCAGAAGGTATCAAATATTCCACTCACATTCAAGAATGTTACGTTCTCTGCAGTGAAAAATATGAAGCATCTCTGTAAACTAGCCTCTAGTTCTATAGAGGTTAGTTCTAGAACTATAGCCTCTAGTTCGCAAAAACGGTCATTTTCTTTTTCTATCCTACTGATATGAGGCTGAATTTGCTTCCTTCAATTTGACTTTGAGACCTTCTTCAACTTTTCTTGTATCATTTTTGTCTACACCCTTGAAAGCCTTCAAAGGCTTCCATGATCTATACAAAAAGTTGGCTTTCACTCCTGTTTCCCCATATGTGGGAGAGATCTGTGTCTTGGTCTCACCTGGTTAGGCCTGTAGGCTTTGAGTTCTTCCTATTATCCTCAGACACGTTTACATTTACCCTTTCGTAACACAAGTAGGCCTAAGTGGGTATCTCTCCATGGCCTCTCCCTGGCCCAGGTTGTTTGACTGTCTTAGCCTTAAGAAAATTGTATTTATGGCTGGGCGTGGTGGCTCATGCCTGTAATTCCAGCACTTTGGGAGGCTGAGGCAGGTAGATCATGAGGTCAGGAGTTCGAGACCAGCCTGGACAAGATGGTGAAACCCTGTCTCTACTAAAAATACAAAAATTAACTGGGCACGATGGCAGGTGCCTGTAATCCCAGCTACTTGCGAGGCTGAGGTAGAAGAATCGCTTGAACCTGGGAGGTGGAGGTTGCAGCAAGCTGAGATTGTGCCACTGCACTCTAGCCTGGGCAACAGAGTGAGACACCGTCTCAAAAAGAAAAAAAAGAAAGAAAAAGAAAAAAGAAAATTGTATTTAGTAGATTTGAAGAAGAAGATGCTAAAATGACAGTGGAGTCATTTATGCACCTTTGCAGAAGGTCAAGCTCTGTGCCTCAAGTGGCCTTAAGTGCTGAGTACAAATGCTCCTCAACTTAGCAGTGAGGCTACATCAGGATAGAACCATCATAAGTTGAAAATATATTTAATACATACTGAACACCATAGCTTAGCCTAGCCCACCTTAAATGTGTTCAGAACACTTACATTAGCCTACAGTTAGGCAAAATTATCTAGTACAAAGCCTGTTCTATAATAAAATGTTGACTATCTCATGTAACTTTTTAACACTGCACTGAAAGTGAAAAAAGCAGAGGGGTTGTATGGGTGTTCAAAGTATAGTTTCTACTGAATGTGTATCACTTTTAGTAGAATACAAATAGAGTAAGGCTGGGCACACTGGCTCATGAATTTAATCCCAGAACTTTGGGAGGCTGAGGTGCGAGTATTGTTTGTGGCCAGAAGTTTAAGACCAGCTTGGACAACATAGAGCGATCCTAACTCTACAAAAAAAGTTTTAAAAGATTAACCGAGTATGGTGGTACATGCCTGTAGTCCTAGCCACTTGGGAGACTGAGGCAGAAGGATCACTTGTGCCCAGGAGTTCAAAGCTACAGTGAGCTATGATCATACACTGAATTCCAGCCTGGGCAACAGAGTGAGACCCCTCTGTCTATACACACACACACACAACTACGCACAGAGTTAAAAAATTGTGAGCCAGGGACCATCTGCACTGGGATAAGACTGGGGAGGCTGAGGTGGGCTGAGGCAGAACCACGTGAGAGGAAGACGCTGAGGATGACTGTGGAGATGAGGGAGGGAGAAGGCCACTGGGAGCCAGGTCCTGGGAGTTTGAAGTTATGGGTAATCCCTCTCCTCAGTCTGCCCAGTGACTTCTCCCATACATTCTACACATTCACTAATGCTCTAGATGTGAGTGCCTAATTCTGAGAGAATGGGAAGAATTGCTGACATTGGAGATGAGCACACATAGGGAGACAACAATACATCTGGGATGTGCTTGTTTCCTAGGCTTTCTAGGTGTATTTCTCTCCTAAGAAATCTTCCTTGTTAAAAGCTTTTAGCAGATGATAAAACACAAGCATACTCTCAAAATCAGTTCAGAAAATATTAGCTGAACAATTTATGACTCACAGTCCTTCTTTTATAACACAGTCATTCCTCGGCATCTGTGGGAGATTGGTTCCAGGACCCTTGAGGATACCAAAATCCAAAGATGCTCAAGTCTTGTATAAAATGATGAAATATTTGCATATAACTTACATATATAATCCCATATGCTTTAAATTATCTCTAGATTGCTTATAATTCCTAATACAATGCCTACATATCACTTCATTCACATAAATTCAACATAATACTGGAAAGTGGCAAATTCAAGTTTTGCCTTTTGGAACTTTGTGGGATTTTTTTCCCCACAGAATATTATTGATCTGCCATTGACTGAATCCACAGATGCTGAATCCATGAATATGGAATGCACAGATATGGAGGGCTGGATGTATTTAGCAATAACGTCTTGTGTTAGGTTTTATTTAGACTCCCAAATTAGCCCCCTCGGGTCATCATACTCATTTTACAGATATGTAATTAAAGAAATGGAGGTTACGTGATTTGCTCAAGGTCACAAAACTAATAATGTTCTTTAGACCACAATGAATGCAGTCTAAGCCTCCTGTCTCCTATATCCAGACTTTCTCACTCTATTAAACTGTTCCTATAAAATCCAAGTCCCTTATTTTGCAGAGGAGTAACTCGAAGATTGCTAATATTGGGAGGTCCCCATAGAGCTTATGGCTGGCCATGGTTCTAGCATTGGACCATCGTCAAATCTCTCTGTTCAAATGATTTGATCACAGCCTTAAACTGAAGCCATTCAATTCCTGATATTCAGTGCTTTAAATATGCTATAAATTCAATAACTTCTATTTATTCAGTTGCCTGAAATTATGAATCTTTTTTTGAAATTAAAAGTTCAGTAAGGACCTTAATTAAAAGTTCAGTAAGCCTCATCGGATATGGGCTGCCAGGAGCAAGGAAAAGACCACCAGACTCAATTTGGGAGACCTGGGCCTGATTACTGACACCACCATCAGCAGAGCAAGCACTGGCTGTGCCTCATTTGCATTAAGATGAGTTTTCTTCCTATTCATTATTTCTTCATTTTTCCTCTAAAAATAGGCAAAGTCATTTAACCTCTCTGTGCTTTTGTTTGCACATCTGTACCATAAGAATGACGTCCCTTATTTAACAAGGTTGTTATAATGATGAAATGAGTAAAGAACATGATGGAACACAGAAAATCATGAGGTTCCCCTCATCACTTTTCCAGATATAATCATGATGAAGGCCAGATTGTCCCAGATTGTTTAAGAGTGTCTATTTGGAGGCCCTAAATGCTGGCTCTATAAATATTCCAGATAGGTGTGGCAATTTAATGTGTGTGGTCTAGCAATGGAAAAGGAAAACAAAAGGGCTGGATTTCTTTCCTGTGCTCAGGTGAATGGGGTCAACATGGAAACAGCATGAGAGGGGCCACAGAAGGGATTCACCAGGAAGAAGAGGAAAGGCAAACTGAAGTGGCCAGGATGGCACGACATCACGTCTGACCAAGGCATCCTCAGCCTTCCTTCAGAAAAGCAGCAGAAGGAAAAAGGGATCAAAAATCACAGTGTGGAACTCAGGCTTGAAAGAAACCTTAGATATTGTCTATTTTTATTTTTATTTTTGAGATGGAGTTTTGCTTTTGTCGCTTAGAGTGCAGTGGTGCAATCTCGGCTCACTGCAACCTCTGCCTCCTGGGTTCAAGCAATTCTCCTGCCTCAATCTCCCGAGTAGCTGGGATTACAAGCATGTGCCACCATGCGTGGCTAATTTTGTATTTTTAGTAGAGATGAGGTTTCACCATGTTGGCCAGGCTGGTCTCGAACTCCTGACCTCAGGTGATCCACCCACCTCAGCCTCCCAAAGTGCTGGGATTACAGGCGTGAGCCTCCGCACCCAGCCAGAGGTTGTTTAATCCTCTACCTGGCTGATGAAGCAATCTCTTATCACATCACCGGCAACAGACATTCATCCAGAATTGCCTTGACAAACTTCATTACCAGAGACAGCCTCCTTGAAAAACCAACCCCATATCCATCCTAACCGTTAGAAAGTTCCTCTGTATACCAAACTAAAATTCAAGTCTAAGGGCAGTAATTGTCAAATTATTTCCACTCTAACCACTGCCTTTACTCCTTACAGCAAGGAAATAATTTTGTGACGAGATAAACATAGGTTTTTAACTAAATTTTATTTTCAACAACCTAGTGGAGACCCCTCACATTGACTGGCTGATGTAGCTGAATTCAGTGTGAGACAGTTATGCAACTTTCCAGTGCTTGCCACACATCTGCTATTGATTATCGTGAGCATTCAGAAGCAAGAAGCTCTGCTCGAGATGCACTGTGATAATCTTTCTCCTCAGTGTGCTCACTCCAAGAGGGCAGAAAACAATGCCAAGACAGATTGAGTAACGGGCCCTACTTGACTGCACTTGAGCAGTTAAAAGCTTTAAGTTTCTGAACAAAATTTGAAATGTGAAATGCACAAAGAAGACCAACGTAGTGCTCCATTTGTGGAATCTGGACCACAGACTCCTGGTCTGAGATCTATTTGAAAGTCTAACCCACTTCTAGTTGCCATAATTTGATGTTGGCATTGAGTTTCTGACATGGGTAGAATCCATTAACAATTGTGCCAACTGGTGACTGCTCAGGAGACAGAAAAGGCTGACATAGGCTTGCAGTTGAGAGTAGCCAAGGCTGACACTCAACAGAAAAACTCAGCAGGTGGTGAAAATGTGAACTGAAGCAGAACTTATCCAAACAGGACTTCAGGGAAAACGGGAGGTTATTTTTGCAGGTAGCAGTGAAAGGCATGCATCAGAAGTTTTTCCTCTTGAATAGGTCAGGTTACAAAATTTAAGTTACTCAGCCTCTCCTTAAAGAAGAGCTGCAGAAATATGTACTAGTTTGGATTCACAAAGTTGTAGGCATCATGAAGATGAATGCATTTTTTTGAGAAATTGCTCACCTGAACAATGTGCTAGCCTACCTAAAAAAGATAATATTAAGTCCATAAATTTCCTAGTAGAAACAGGAGATCTAAAATTCACCAACCTTTTCAATCGGAGATCTGTTTCAACAGATATTTTACTACTGAACTCAGCAAAGCCCCATCATATGCCATTTAATTTTCTCAATTTCAATGATATACAGTCAGCCCACATCAGACAAAGAAATGATCTAAATGGGTACATTGGCTACCATTCCCCCTAATGATTTTATGCTGCAGAGTAAGCATGAGAAGGAGCTGGAAATTTGCTGTTCCCTCTCTCCCTCTAGTCTCTGTATGGACTTTTACACTGTGAGCATCTCACACACTGATGATGAATGTTGTGTTTAAGGCCATGTATTGTTTCACAGCAAAATGCCTCAAAGACAAGCTAACTCTAGTATCTGGTCTTAAAGAAATAGCAACCTGTTTCAATGCTAAGGAAACAGTGGGAGTAAATCTTATACTTAATAGGAGATGGTATATCAGTCTCCAACCTGGTAACTTCCTAAGAGTTTTTCTAAAATAATACTGACCTCATACAATTTTCACTTTACACATTACTTGTACTCTTAACCAAACTGGCATCTTACAGTCTCATGTTAGAGTGATGTGGTCAAGAGTTGCTGAAAAAGATACGATTTTAGCTCTGAGGTCCCCAAATTATGTGCCAGTGTACCTCAGGGCACTATAGCAAAGTCACAGAGGTGTGCAGGATATTTTGTCTTTGAGGGAAACAAAGTAATACACAACATTTCTCAGATGCTTGCATGAACGACTATTTCAAGCGAATTCACAGTTTAACATTATATTGGGTTATTTTCCTTTTGATGATGTCATTTCTTTGCAAAGCTAGGTTGTTGGTAGTTGCTGTGTTAAAGGCAAGTATTAGTTGAAAAGTGATGCGGAACAGGAAATTAGGGTATTGGGATTCAACCCAATTTCTAGGTTTGAGGAACTATAATAAGTTTACTGCCTCACAGCTCGAAATTCACCCTTCATTACCCACTATGTGAAGATGTAAAAGGGACCTTTACATATTTTTTATTTTGTTAGCTGGTACCATTCTGAGCTTCATCAGTGGAGAGTACTGTAGAGACATTACAGAAAGAAGCAGTTTTACTTCCTGGTTCTGGTACACTCTTTCTGCACGCTGCTGCAAACACGCATGGCTCCTAGAGCATTCACACCTTCTTCAGCAACTGGCTCCTGCTGAACATGATGGTCAGCACCTTGCAGCCTCCAGCAGCTTCCACTGGCATCCCTCTTGGTTAATTTTTGCAGCAGAGTGCAACCAGTGAAAGACTTCCACATGAATAGCTTTCCTCAGCATCTTACAGGGTAGATTTCTAGCAAGTTCTGTCAGCACAGCACCCCAGTGACTTCTCTGCCAGCCAGGGAGCCACAGCAGGCCATGACATCTCCAGCAGGGTCTGGAGCGGAGAGAAGCCTGTGTTTGGGTGCTCTATCAGAGCACGGGTAGGGGCTGCTCCTTATGTCTGCTATTTCTCTGTTATTTAAAGTTCTCTTTACTTCCTATTACCTAGTTCCCATTATAGTTAACTATTTTTCTTTTTCTTAACAGTTTGTTTTCTTTTGTATTTTTAAAAAATTGTGGTAAAATACATACAGTATAAAATTTACCATCTTAATAATTTTAAATGTACAGTTCAGGAGCATTAAGTACATTCACATTGTTGTACAATCATCACCACTATCCATCTCTAGAACTTTTTTCATCTTGCAAAACTGAAACTCTGTAGCCACTGAAGACTAAATCGCCATTGTCTGCGCCTGTCAGCCCCTGGCAACCACCATTCTACTTTTTGTCTCTATAAATTTGACTACTCCAGGTAACTTACATAAGTGGAATTAAAGAGTATTTGTCTTTTTGTGATGGCTTATCTCACTTAACATAATATCCTCAAGTTCATCCATATGGTAGCGGGTCAGACTTTCCTTCCTTTTTAAGGCTTGGTGATATTCCATTGTATGTGTATATCACATTTTGTTTATACATTCTTCTGTAGATGGATATCTGGATTGCTACTGCCTTTTGGGTATTGGTTTACAAATATCTCTTTGAGATGCCTTTTCAATTCTTTTGAGTATATACCCAGAAGTAAAATTGCTAAATCATATGGTAATTCAATTTTTAATTTTTTGAGGAACTGTCATATTATTTTCCTAGCTAGTACTTCTTTAAACTTTCCTTTAAATTATTGTGTACTTTATATTCTCATTAGACCCTGACCAATATATGCAATGCCCAACAGTTATATACATTCCATTAAGAAATGAAGAGTAACATAAAAACATTATTTTTAAATATTTCAATATATATGTATTATGTTTCACAACCACAAAGTTATTAATACAGAAATACTAAGTTGTTTGGAACTAAGCACTTAACAAATGAAACTGCTAAGTATTTCTTTTGTCCTAGAAATGGCACGAAAAAAATTACTAAGACCACTAAATTACTGAGACCACTAAGGGTGCATGAGCCAAGAACATTTGGAAGGCTCTGCTCTAGCCTACATGTTTCCAGCTGCCATTAGGAACTGTCTGCTTGAATGGTTCCTTAGGCTCACCCTATCTAGGGGTATCCCTGAAGGCACAGATGGGACCTTAATATTAACCGTACTTAATACTGTATCTCTTTATAATATTAAGTTTTTCTCACTTAGGGACTGGGGGCTACAAACTTTACAATTATCTTTGACATATCCTGCTCTGTCTCCCCTTATTTCTAATCCTCACATCAAAATGATTGGCCTTTTTTTCTCTCCATTCCTGCGGCAGTCAGTAAAGCCATCATCTCTAGTTAGCATTACCTAACAGATTTTAAGCTAGTTTCCCTTAAACAAGACCATGGGTTGAAAATTCAAATGCTCACCGAGGCTAAAAATATGTTAATTCATACCTGCCACACAACAATTGGCTGCCCCAGTCCTTGTACCCGTGAAGGCAACACCAATAGGACAGGCTGTGGGTGAGGCCCCATTCCCAGGATGCCAGCTGTTACAGTGTGGATGTTTGTCCCTTCCAAGCCTCATGTTGAAATGTGATGGAGGTGGGGCCTGATAGGAGGTGTTTGAGTTATGGGGGTGGATCCTTAATGAGTGGCTTGGTGCCCTCCCCATGGTAATGAGTGAGCTCTTGCTCTATTCGTTCATGTGAGAGCTGGTTCATTAAAATATTGCATTGGGAGTTATACCTGATGTAAATGACGAGTTGATGGGTGCAGCACAGCAACATGGCACAAGTATACATATGTAACAAGCCTGCACGTTATGCACATGTACCCTAGAACTTAAAGTATAATAAAAAAAAAAAAAAAAAAAAGAGCCTGATACCTCCTCCCCTCTCTCTTGCTCCCTCTCTGTGTGACACATCTGCTCCTTTTTCACCTCTGCCATGAGGAAAAACTTCCTGAGGCCTCGACAGAAGCTAAGCAGATACTGGTGGCATGCTTGTACAGCCTGCAGAATCAGGAGCCAAATAAACCTCTTTTCTTTATAAATTACCCAGACTCAGGTTTTTCTTTTTGGCAATACAAAACAGACTAATACAACAGCTGAAATACCAACTTCTCTCT